AAAAAAATATTTACATTGGGCTCGTTCAGGTCAAACTGTAGCACGCGAATAAGCTTCTCGTCATCCCGCAAAGGTGGCCTCAACTTCACTCCCAACTGAAATTGTCATAAAATTCATTGTTACTTCAAAATTTAAAAAGCGTGAAAGTGAACAACCGTGGTGGTAAATGGAGAAAACATCCAGGCCATGCATGGTAAACTACATAAACCATACGAGAAATACAGAAAATCAAACCTTGAAAACATTGTCCAATGCGCTTCGTACACTTTCATCATCCTTGCTGTTGCATTCATACCCTTTGTCGTCTTCCTGGAAAAGAACCGCAGGTTAACCCTTGCAAAAATTACTCGAAGAATCTCATCCTACCCGATAATGTTTGATAACGACAAATTGCGTAGTATCCATCCCAAGTTTCCTTCCAAGCCAGGCCTTGAACTTCCCGAATGTCAAACGCGAATCAACATCCAGGTAGAGGACTTAATAGGATGACTTTGAATAAAAATAAACAAGCAAAATTTTCATAAGGTGAAGCCCAGATATACTCATAAAAATGACTAAATGTTAAAAGTTTTTGGTTCGTTGATGACATAAATCAGTAGAAATGGAAAAACACCACTTACGATTTCCAACGGAGGTTGGCAGCTGTACAACTTTCTGAACCAGCTCTTCACTATGAGATGTGATTGTAGATGCGACTGGAGTGGTATCAGATGAATCGGCTAGCGATCGTGTTCCAGAGTGAGACTGGAACACGTCCTCATTGTCATTCTCAGCGACTGTAGCCAAAGAGTCCTAAAAACACACTTGAGACTCCGAGATGCCTCACATAGGATGTGAAAAAGTATACTAACAGCTAAGTCGGAATCGTCGATTCCCTCATCAACATCCGACACGTTTGGTGACATCTGCAAATTAGCAAAACTAGCGGGTAACACGTCGCTAACTACAATAACAAAGTCTTAGCCAAGCAGGGATTTGAACTGAAATGTCTTTACCCGCAAGACCACCAAAGCAATTATAAGCAAAGAAAATAGTAAACGACAAGCTAAAACAACATCTAATTCGGTGTAAAAAAAACTGGGTTTTCAGCAAAAACTAGAAATCAAGGGCTGCATACGAACGAAAACCATGTCATGGCAACACTGCTGTTTTAAGTTAGGCACGCGCCATATTTGTTCCGCTTGATCCACTTGATTAGCTTCGCTATTGGTCTTCAGTGAACTGACCTATAGTGGAGTGGATGAAGTGGATCAAACGGATCAAACTGACAACCTTCGCTATTAGTTCAGTTCGAATTGACCAATGACAAACGGATCAAGTGGATTAAGCGGATCTAGTATGGTGCGCGCCTTGGGTAAATCTAGAAACGATATCATCGCCAATCTCGACAATACTCCAAAACAGAGCTTAAAAGCAGCGGATAGGCAAATTGGATTATTCTCAGATTTTGGCGGAGTTAGGTAGTAGACCCCCTAAG